TCACAAATCTTTAAAGCAACTTGTTGAGTAAAAACGTCAAAGGAATCAGAGATATCAGAAAAATATCAACGAACGGAAGAAATATTGGCAATCCCAAAATTCGAGCTACGTTCACAAAGGGAAATCTTCAAATCAAAGGATGGAAGTTAGTTCTCCTACGAATGATAATCAATGTTCACACTGTTATTCCTGCAATCAGGAAAATCAATCAAAGAACTTTACTCCAAAACCCTCTTCTTCAATGATATCAAGTTCGAAACCAAAGATTCATGAACCCCTAAGATCTTCACCCAAAGATGTCAAGGGAAAGGGAAAGCTAGTTGATGAGCCCAAAGTTCCAACCAAACAATCGATATCTGATTCTAAGAGAGAAGAGAGAGAATTCATCAAAAATCAAATTAAATCTAAAAGAAAACAATCTGATTTAAAAGAGATGAAACTCAAAGATGATAAGATTAAAGTTTTCACCATTAAAAGGAAAGATGAAACAATGTTAATTAAGCGAACTTCTTTGGTTGATCCTGCTATTACTTTTCCTTGTTCTATAAAAGGCTCACCGGGACCTAAGCAACTTTGGGTTCCTAAATCTGCTTAATCTTTGTAGGTTATTCGTGACAAGTAGTTTAACAACGAATGGTACATAGACAGTGGCTGCTCAAGTCACATGACTGAGAGAAAGGAAGAGTTAAGGGAGTTTGTGCACTGAAAAATGATGGAAATTTAAAGCATGGTAACAACTCATTTGGAATGATCAAAGGCTATGGGATGATTACGAATGAATATTTTTCAATACGAAAGGTGGCTTATGTGGAAGGAATACAACACAATCCAATCAGTGTTTGTCAATTGGTTGTGGAAACAGGCCAGAAAGTAAGCTTTGATGACGAAGGTTCTGAGATTGTAGAGAAAGAAACGAAAGTATTTCTTTTGAAGTCTCCTAGGAAAGGTGAAATGTATCCTCTAAATTTGAACCCGATAAGAGGAAAACCTTCTATCATCCTGCTAACGAAAGCTCGCTCCGATGATACTGGCTATGGCACTAACGACTTTTGCACCTAAATTTCAAGGATATCAACAAGCTTGTGCTTAGTTATCATGTGTGAGGGATTCCTCTATTTAAGTTTGATAAGGATCAATTATTTGTAGCATGCAAAATGGGGAAGCAAAGTAGGAAAATGCATCCAACTCGAGTAAACACGAAAATCATTGAACCTTTAGAACTTCTACACATAGACCTTTATGGACCTTCTGCAATCGAAAGTGTCGGTGGCAGTAAGTATATTTTTGTTATAATTGATGATTTTTCACGTTTCACTTAGGTGTTCTTTCTTAAACAGCAATCTGAGGCAACTCCTACACTCAAGAGTTTCATAAAGAAAGTTGAGCTTCAGCTGCGAAAGCTTATTTGCAATATTCGTAGCGATAATGGGCTGGAATTTAAAAATCAAGACTTTGAAGAATTTATGGCTAATAAAGGAGTTGCACACAATTTCTCTACTCCTTACACCCCACAACAGAATGGCGTAATTGAAAGACGAAATTGTTCTTTGTGTGAAGTTGCTCGAACGAGATACTTGAATGAAATTGGTGTAGAGTAGAAGTATCCTGCATGAATCATGATAACAAATAACATTAATTAGAAAAAATGACCAAAAACATTTTCTGCAAGAAAAGAGCACAAATGATCTTCAAAATGCTAAAAAAAAGAGCAAATGTAGATGTGCACATTGAATTGCAGCGCACTAGAGCTATCTGTAGTAAATTTACTTACAAATATTTGCTAAAAAATTCAATTTTCAGTGTATAAATGGAACATCCTTCATTATTGTCCTGAAATGAAATTCAATCATGGAGATATAGGTAAGAACCTTTACCAAAACTTAGACATACCGTACATCTTGGAATGCGTAACCCCAATTCCTTTCATAAAAACATTTAAAAAATAAGAAAGGTGAACTAAGCATTTTTCAATTCATTCAATGAGGCTTTAGAAATATTAACTAAATGTTTAGGAAATATGCTTCTTTATGCTTTATCATCAAATCTGAAAGCTCGCCAACAATGGAAATAAGCGGAAAATTAAGCAATTAATTTAAATATATTATACAAACCTTTCATTGTTTGAGGGTTGATGTGATATAAGGAAGAGGGTCGAGCACTTCCAAAGAGGACATTCGCATCTATTGCTAATCTCCAGCCAGCAAAAAGTAAGTAAATGAATAAACATTACTCTCAACATTAAACTCTGCAAATAATCATATTTTAATCAGATTTCAAAAAACTAATTGCCCATTTTAAAAAAAAAAAAAAAAAAGCAAATTACAAAAAGCGATCAAATTAAAGTAATCAAACTTAAATACAGATGAAAAAATTTTGTGTATTTTAGAGGATAAAGAACATATATTTGTAATCAGGATCTAGTTCATTGGTCCTAGTCAACTCCAAAACCAAAACCTAAAAAGAAATTAGAGCTTAGAGAGTTACAATCAAATGGAAATGTAACCTAACAGAAACAAAAGACATGATTAATCAACGATCAGGATCCTAAATTCCTAACTATCATCATCATCATCCAATATCCACCATTGATATAGTTGGTAAATTAAAATAAGAAAGGGGGAGGCATTCTAGGCAAATAGCCATGTTATGACATACCTAGGCAAAGTCAAAGAAGCAGATGAATTACAAATATAACCTTAATTGGATAATTAGAACGTTTGAATATTAAACTTTTATAGAAGAATGAACTAATTGTACATCTTTCTACTTATTAATTAATTGTATCAAGGATTCCATTCTCATCTCACCAACAAATTTTGTTTTTGAATTCCAATGGATTTGTGATTGAGGAGTTTGATAATCAGCTTGGCGAAGAACATAATGCATTTAAGCTACCAGTGACCAAGTCGATCCTTAAGAAAATGATACAACTTTGTATTCATTGGCACACCAATATGAACTTGTCACAAATAAGGACCTGAATTGGATAAGGGGAATTAATATTGATAATAACTGAATGCATAAAGTCTGTGATGATATAAAAGACAAAACTGCACAAATGGTCCCTATGGTTTACTCAAAATTGTCATTTTCGTCCAAAAAAATTTGGACTAGCACCATAGGTCCAAATTTTTCATTTTCTTGCGAGTTTAGTCCATTTGCTTTGAACTTTTCTATAATGACAATTTTGCCTTTGTTTTTTGGTTTTCTGTTTTTTTTAGACAAAATTGCAAGAATGGTCCCTATGGTTAGGTCGAAATTGCCACTTTAGACCAAACAGGTTTCGACTAGCATTCATGGTCCAAAGGTTTTCATTTTTTTGCCACTTTGGTCCAATTTACTTTAAATTTTTTTGTAATGGCGATTTTGCCCTTGGATTTTGTTTGTTCAGTTTATTTATTTATATAAATACTTTTATAATTTAAGAAAAATAAAAAAGAAAATACATATCTCTTTCTTTCTTTCTCTCTCTCTCTCACACACACACACACTCTCTATCACTCACTCACACACTCTCTCTCTCTCTCTCTCTCTCTTACATGATTGTGTTCTTCCCCAAAATACACACATACACACACTGATGGAACTCCATTACTCCAGCAACCATCTTGATGAAGCACAGGTTATTACCAAAGAAGACAAGTTCATCGTTACCAGTCGCTACCCACCGAATTGCCACCCACAACCACCAGTAAGGTAGCGTCACTGGAAACCACTCACAATTCCTCCCTTATGTTATTGATTTCTTGTTGATCACCCTCTTTCATGTGACTATAAACCACCTTCTCGCCATCTCCGCATCTCTTTCCTTCATGCCTATCTCTCTTCCCTAATCAAACCTACATTTCTATTTTGACCTAGATTTCTTCACCTTCATCTATAAAATCAAACCCAAATTTCTATTTTGAAAGTTCTTACCTCCCTGCTCTTCCTCTCGTTGAGTTCGCTGGAACAGCAAGAAATGAAGCAGCAGAAGATGATGGAGCAACCCCTGCCACCACTTACGCTGCTATTATGGAACCATCGTTGTTGATTGTTGTTATGGAACGAATCAGCAGAAGCCTCCAGATCTTTCTTCATATTCTTCATATCCTTTATGTTCGGTTTCGAAATCTGCAATATTTATAACTAGGGTTTCGTGTTGTTCTATTTCAGATTCAGGTTGTTCGGGTTCAGTGTTAGTGATGGTAGGGGAAAGGACGAAAGGTGTTAGGAAGAGTGACGATTTTTCTGGAGAGTGAATTTTCCTTCTAGAGTTCGTTTAGGCGGCGGAAGCTCGGCTATCTTTGACAAGGACATCCAACACTATCGGGGTTCGTATCATCCTAATGGAGACGACGATGAAGTTGGTGGCCCAATCTCCGTTTTTGAAGGGGACCAATATCAGAGGAGAGGGATAGTCAATTTTGAAAGATCTGACCGTATCCATAGATCCAATAGTCGCTTTCTTCTTGAAGCAATATGTGCAAATGATGGTTGAATGCAGAGGTTTCTTGAATAAATGGTGGCCGTAGGAGGAAGCAAACTGTGGGAGGAGGCGACTATTTGTTACAGGCAAAGGAATGTTTCTTGAAACCATATGTGGAAAGAGAAAGAGAGGGGGAGGGGGGGGGGGAGTTAGGGTATTTTATTTTTGTATTAATTTTTAATTGTTTTTAATTAATGTAATAAAAGAAAATTAAAAAATAAAATAATTAGGGGCAAATCTGTCATAGAAAGTTTTAAAAATTTTGGACCAAACTTACAACAAAATGAAAAGTTTTGATCTCTAGTGCTAATCCAAACCTTTTTGGACCAAAGTGACAATTTTGACCTAACCACAATGACCATTTCGTACAACATCCTAATCAAAAACTAAAATAACTTAAAGGTGAAAATTAACATGGAGAAGTACTCTATAATGATATAGTATTATAAATTTTAGGTCTATTCAGTTCATCACCACAAATTTAACAAATAAGCTGACATTCCATACAGAAACAGGTTACAAATCAAAAACATTAGATCCTTTCCACATCTGCTTGCAAAACTCTAACATGACACACAAGTTGAGAGTGTATAGGTAAGGCAAGTCCCACTTGGTGACGATCGTTAATTACAAAAAGAACAAAAACATATGTCAGTTGTGTTGATCTAAAAAATCTTCTACAAGAATAAAATCAGAAAAAAAGTTCTAGGGTCCTTCAATCTTCACAACACAAAAACAAAAACAAAAATAAATAAATAAATAAATAAAAAGAACAAGAGATACCCCATCCATCACTGTCTGTTTTCTCGAAAACCATCGACACTTGAGTCGATGAACACCAAAATTTACTCGACAAATTTACAAATTAGTCAATTCCAATGACCTTCTGCTTGTGCTTGTGCAGCTGGCATGGCAATCCTAGGTTCCGTGATCAGCATCTTCAATGATATCTTCTGCAGATAATCAACCTGCAAATCAAATATAAATGAAAAGTTTTATTCCCCAAAGTACATCAACCACAGATCACACATTCATTCATTCTTCTATTTAATAACTACTTCCATTCAATCTCTCCACAATATCCACTAATAAAAAACTACCAAAAATAAGCAACAAACCAGGCTTGTTGCAGCATTATAAATCTTCTCTTCAAATCTCACTGCTATTTTATGAAGTTCGTCTAACCCCTCCTGTCCAGAGAACGGGAGATGCCTCTTGAAGGTAACCATTCTACATAAAAGCAACATGAACAACAATGTTAACTAGCATATAATCAAATTCTTAAACCACTTAAATTTAAGATAAGGATGTAAATGGTAAATAGTAAATAGTAATACACACATCCTGTTCACCATCCTTCGTCTTGAAGCTGCGTGCAGCTGAAACCTCCAACTGTTTGTATCCATCACCTAAACTAGAACTGTATTTGTAATACTCAGAAATGATTATAATATATTTATACAGAAACAAGTGTTAATTCTTATCTGGAACTATGATTTAGTAACAACACAAAATCGGTTATGAAGGAGGAAAAAGTATCAAGTGTAGCGACCAGTAAAATTTGAGTTTCAATTACCAATATAAGTTGTGCTTACAACACACTAGACATCAAAATTGACGATGATTGAGCATATAATCAGAGGTGTGTTTTAATTCTAGCGATCACCAATTAGCAATGGTTTGGGTGAAAAAAGGGTCGTCAATTAAATAGCGTACATACCAAACAAATGCCTAATTCTTCTTGGAGATAAAGCAATTGGACTCTCTATGAAAATCAAAATCCAACTACTCAAAAGTAAACGATCGAGTATAATCAGAGATTGAATCGATTTGCGTGTAACCGATGGGATTGCCCTGAGATGGTCGCCGCTGACAAAGACGTGAACGACGATCCCTACTTCGATGAAAGACGAGACAGTGGAGAAAAAAATAATAAATAAATAAATAAATAAATAAGGAAGGGTAGCAAGAAACTTATGAAGAAATTTCATGGGAGATACAAATATGTTGACTCGCAAAGCAAAGCATATGCATATCAAATGTAAAAACCGAATCTCAATTCACTTTTAAAATAAAAAGTTTTCGAGAAAACTCCCAAATTATTCCATTTACTTTGTAATTTTTTATTCAAAAAAGTTTCAATTTAAAAAAATAATATTTATTAAGAATTTCTTGTGGATTTAATCTATAGAATTAACATTGTTTTGCTGCTAGATAAAAAAATTATATTTTCAATTAATTTATATTATCTGGTGGGCCACATTTATACCTCAATGTTTTAAGATCACCCTTACCATGCATCCATTTACTCCATACATTCTAGTCTTCCTCAATCACCACAACTTTTTCATGTAAAATGAAAACCAAAAACTAGATCGAATGTGATAGATGAAATCTCTTTAGAAAAACCCTAGTATCCGGCAGAGCCAATCGATTATAAAAATCCTAACCCTAAGCCACGGGGCGTAGAGGGTTTTATGTGGTGTGTAGGCCTCGTTCCAGGCTTCTGATGTGTGTCGTTCAATGTGTTCGTCTACAGGGTGTTTTCGGATGTTGTTGGTCTGCTCCTTAGGTGTGACTACGAAAGAGGAGCTCTCTGTTGGGCTTTAACACTCATTATTCGATCAAGATCCACGAAGGTTTCAAACGAATACAAAGGTATGTATTTTTGTTTGCTTCTCTTTAGTTTAAGTTTCATAGATAGGTAGAACATGTATCCTTGGCTGGCTTATTGGGATTATGTTTTGTTGCTTCCATTGTGCGCCTTTATGGCCTTTTAGATTCTTCATAACCCTACACATCCCACCACAAAAAAAATGCTAACAAAAGATACTCATAGGCTAACAAAAGATACTCAAAAGCAGCATACTTGGGGCAAAAAAAGGCTAACAAAAGATACTCATATGATAACCTCTCCCTCTCAACTAGCAGAACGTACTCAACACGAAACATCTTAGTGAATTGCTTCCATGTCACCACGGCCCAACCTGCAACCTAAAGACCCTAAGTGGCAAAATTCCACCAATCCTTCGACCCACGCAAACTTCACCTTTTGATTCTCCGTACATGAAACCTTATGACAACTATGATGTCACACCCCCAAACCAGAACGGCGGAAACGTTCGGAGGCGGAGGACGTCATATTCAGTATCATAACAGTTCATAGAAAGGAAAGTACACACCACCATATATATTAAAGTTTCCAAGATGTTTACATAATTGTATTCATTACACGTTCAAAAAATAAATACATAAACATCATTCAAAAGAAGTAATTAACGCCAGCGCGTTAATCCCAAAAGTTGATTCCCAAACCTGCTTAGCGGTTCCCTGAGAATACAAGTTAATTCAAAGAAAAAGTGTCAACAATTAAGTTGGTGAGTTCATAAGTAGTTTAGAAAAATTGGATGCCATTCCAAAATGGGTGTATGTTTTCCAGAAAACTCAGTATTTCAAGTGTGAAGAGTTATGACTTGTTGTGTTGAAAATGAATGTATTAGATCCAGAAAATCCCATATTTTCCCTAATGGTTGAGATATGATTTGTTGTGTCTTCCAAGAAAAACCCTTATTTTCTTATAAAAGTATGAAATGCATATGAATGTTCGTGTCATAAGTTGTAAATAATTGCACCAGGAAAATCCCTTATCTTCCTATTAGTTGTTTGGTTTGTATACAGGAAAAACCCTTATTTTCCTAACATGACTGGCAGTCTCTAAGACCGAAAATCGCAAGAAAACGACGTTCTTAAAAGTTGTGTCATAGTTTTATATAATAAAGCTATACGAAGATCGCATTTGTTAGATGAAGAATAGTTTTAACAGTTACTCGTTCATAAAAGCATAATACCATAATAATTGTATATCCGATGAGTTTTATAACCATACTAAACATAATATGCCTGTAACGACGTTCTTCAGGCGTCGCAGCGTTATGACAACTGTCACCCCAAAGGACGGACTGTAGCTAACAGTCAGGGCGCGGGATCATGACTTCCCGTATAGATCTATACACATTTGACACGTTCTCCGAACGGGAGACTCTGGTTATAGACAGGACTTGCAGCATTACTTTCTAATAAAGAAAAGTAACGTTTGAAGATATACACGTCTCATGGATTCTCAACTAAGCCTGTATTAAAGTGATAGTTTTTTATGCAAAGTTTATCCTTTTTCACAATGTTTGACAAAGCATAAATCATAAGTTTTTAGAATGTATAAAACGACTTAACAATGAAAGGTACTTTGAAATCATTATATACTTTGCATAAGTCTAATGCACACAAAGTATGACAAGAGTTTTCCATAATAGTAATGAGTTCCAAGTGATTTGTTCGGTAAAACAAGCGAAGTGAAACTTTATAAAATACACGATAATAACCGTATGTTTACTTGTATTCCCCCCCTAAAAGAGTATAAAAGCATTTAAAATGTATTTAAAGTGTGTTTGAAAGGGGTATGAACTCACTTGAAAGTTTGAAGATAGCAAGATGGAAAACCGGGCAGAGTTTCGTCTCGGGAAATGGATTTTCCTCGGATTCTCGGATTTCTCGGGAGTAAAATCGACCTTCGGGACTTGCACAAAATGACCAGGGCTTCGGGGTAGTGCAAGCACGGAAAACAAGGCAAAACGCAAGAAAAAGGAGAGTGAATGAGCAATTTTTCCGAGAACCCTCGCATCCCTTTTATAGGGGGTTGGAAGGCACACGTACGCGGTGCGTACGGGACGTCATTGCTGACCGCATCCTCGGCCGCAACGCGCTTCGGACGGGACAGGGGGTAGGCTTGCATAGGGGCGACGTGGACGATCCGAGGCTGTGGCCTCAAGTACGCGGGGTGTACGAGGGTACGCGGCGCGTACTTCGGCCCTAGGTGCTGACTCCTTCGGATAATACCAAGTTTTTAATAAAAGTTATATATAAATTATTTATCAAACTTCAAAAATTCATATCTCCTTCATACGAACTCCGTTTTCGACGTTCTTTATATCCCGCGAAGGTGAGACTACGATCTACAACTTTCGTTTAGATTCCGTTGGCAAATTCCGAAATTATTTTTATTATTTATTTATTAAAATGACGTGATTAAGGAATTTCTTTAAAAATTCATAACTTTTTCATACGATGTCCGATTTGAGCGTTCTTTTTATGCATGTTTGTAGTTTAACGATATCTATGACTTTCATTTAGACACCTAAGGTCAGAAAGTGTTTTATTGAAACTTTGCGTTTTTACGTAACTTCGTATTGCCGGTTTTTGTCGGAAAACTTAGAATGGTCATAACTTCTTCGTTATAACTCGGATTTTTGTGTTATTTATATGTTGGGAAACCTTGAGACGATACCTACCACATAGTGTACTCCAAATAGAGTTTTTGAATACTTCATTTTTCGATGATATTCTAATTCCTTTCTCAAAGAGGTTACAGGACTCGATTTTTTTACTGACTTGAAATGACGGGCTGTTACATCATCCCCCCGTTAGAGGGAAGTTCGTCCCAAAATTTTGATACAACAGAAGAGTCTTAGGGGCTGAGGAAGAGGTGTGGATACTTCTATTGCATTTGATCTTCTCGTTCCCACGTGAACTCAGGTCCCGTCTTAGCATTCCATCGTACCTTTACTATTGGAATGCGACTCTGTTTAGTTCGTTTAACTTCCCTATCCATGATCTCGACGGGTTCTTCCACAAAGTTAAGATTTTCATTTAGTTCGATCTCATCGAGTGGAATTACAAGTGTTTCGTCGGACAAACACTTCTTCAGGTTTGATACGTGGGATACTGGATGTACTTTGTTAAGCTCGACTGGAAGTCGGAGTTTGTAGGCCACTGGACCAACTCATGAAATGATTTCAAAGGGTCCAATGTAGCTAGGATTTAGCTTCCCACGTTTTCCAAAGCGTATCATGCCCTTCCAGGGTGAGACCTTCAGTAGTACACGATCGCCAATCTGAAATTCCAAGGGTTTACGTCTTTTGTCGGCATAGCTCTTTTGCCTATCCCTCGAGGATTTCAGTCGTTCTCGTATTTGTACGATCTTTTCAGTAGTTTCTCTGATGATCTCCGGACCAGTGAGGGTGCTATCAGGGACTAGACCTTTTGCTAATTGTGTGTCGCCCACTTCCATCCAACACAGAGGTGATCTGCACTTACGGCCGTAAAGGGCTTCAAATGGAGCAGTATTGATACTAGTATGACAACTATTGTTATAAGAGAACTCGACCAAAGGTAAATGAACATCCCATGCTTTACCAAAGTCGATTACACATGCTCCCAACATGTCTTCCAAGGTTTGCATCGTCCTTTCACTCTGTCCGTTAGTTTGGGGGTGATAGGCTGTACTCATGTCCAATCTTGTTCCCATGGATTTTTGCAATGATTGCCAGAATCTAGACGTGAATCTGCTGTC